CACGCAGACTGGAGATTTCTAGAAGTGGTGGTTCAATGTCGGGAACACGCCAACGTCTTTAACCTTGAGCGTAGAAATCTGTATCTTCTGGAACACGCAGAAATTGGAGATTTCTGGAGGTGGTGGTCTGATGTCGGGGACACGCCGACGTCTTTATCCTTGAGCGTAGAAATCTGTATCTTCTGGAACACGCAGAAATTGAAGATTTCTGGAGGTGGTGGTTCGTTGTCGGGAACTCGCTGTATATATATATATATATATATATATATATATATATATATATATATATATATATATATATATATAATTTAGTTTATAGTGATCTCATATGCAGTATGTTTTTAATAAGTGTGAAGGCAGTAAGTAGAATTAAAGGGTCTGAAAATACTTTGACTGAATTATGAGAACATTTGAATAGGAAGCAGCCAGAGTAGGTTTGTGAGAAGTTAAACACTGTGTGTGATGTTAGTTTTGTCAGATTGCATCGATACAAAACCCCACATTTCACAGTGTCCACAAGCATTCTTGCAACTGTGTGTGTTTTATTGTAAATCAAACAGGTCAAAATAAATGTCTCATTTTCCATTATTCATAATTATCATATCCTTACATCTGATGAAACGTTTTTCTCTTATGTGATTAATAAATGTCTGTAATGTTATTTCTGATCAGAAAAGAACCCTTGTGACACATTAAACTGATGCATGACATTGCAGGACTTAGCAAATGCATCAATTGACCAAATGTCTAAGGTCACAATAAGCAGGTTATTTAGTCAAAAAACTAATAAAGAAGGTTTTAATAATTTTAAAAAAGCTAGTGGTGGCCCGTTATCGCAGTTAACGCGAGACTTATCGCGTAATAAACAAAATATCGCCGTTAAGCTATTCTCAAAATTGGAGTTGGAGCTGGGTCTGTTCTACGCAAGCTATGATGACTTTCACCTTGATATTTTAGCGCAAATGTATACCTGACCAGTGAGCCGTCTGACAAACTGGGGTATTAGAAGCAAATAAGGAGTAAGGACTGGTGAGAGTTTTATGAAATTTAATAACGCATGTCAAATGGAAAGAAAAAAAAACTTCTGTATTTCACCATGTGTGTGTCCTTTACTGAAAGTCGTGTGTGTGGAACTTGTCGGAAAATATGGCGAAAATTCCTACATGACGGTAATAGTTTGATTGCGGTGTTTACTTCAATAATGCCACTAATATCTGCATACTCCACATGTCTTAATTCCATTTCTGTTCAGTTCAGTTATGACTTTAGTCAGATTAAGGTCATCAAAAAAAGGCTGTTTGAGGCTTATATAGGCCTACTGTTCAACATTGATGTTTAACCGAATAAACAGTGAGTAAACACAAGTACATCTTATTCAACATCATTTATTTTCATCACCAATTATCAGAGTAGAACAGTTTCTCCAGCAGTTTGTGATGAATTTTGGAAGCTGGAGATGAGCCCCTGGACTTATGCTCCACCTGGCTTGAGAATCCCGTTCTCAAAGACTTATTACTTGGGCTGCACACATATTCTGAATGCTTTCGGCAGGATTCAAATGAGCCATTTTAATCTAGATTAATTCCAAAATTACAGTGAGATAAATCTAGATTAAATAAATTAACCTATGCCCACCTATAAAAAAAGCATGTATTAGCAGCAGGTATTAGCATGGTGAGCCCTGTTTTCCATGAAAAATGCTTGCTCATTTATGCTTAGGCTTGGGTCAAAATAAAAAGCCAGAAACAGTATAGAAAAAATAATAATAAAAAAATCAGAATGATGGAAATAATGTTGAAAAATCATTTATCAGAAACAGGTTGTTGGAGATCTTCAGTCAGAGAAAACTAAATCTAAAATAAACTATGATAATTTTTTAAAACAAGCATCTGAGTTAGTAAAACTCCATATTATAAACATGCAGGAGATATAAACAAGCAGCATCTGCACTGTAAAGCCTATCTGTTAATGAACAGTTGCTGTATTTTGTGATTCACAGGTGTTTTCTGTGTATTTGTGGTTGTGAATTGCATTATGGGATGTTGATCTCTGCTCTGTCCACTTTTGATGCTGAAAATTCAACTCTGCAGTTTAACAAAGAGACTTTTATTGACATTTTAGTAGTTTGAAGTAATAATATAATGGATAAAGAAATAATATATAGTGAAATAAAATAGAAAAATCACACAAAGTCTGCATATTTTCAGGTTGCCCAATCTAATGCGGACTCGAAGGGAACGAGATCACGACACCAACCTCATTTATGGCTTTATCATTATCATCCTCTGAATAATGCCTCGTCCGATCACCCTGGTCATCTCAAGAAATTCCCAACTTATATTTGATAGCAGATCTCCTCTTAAAGTGACAGCGACTCTGCTGTAATATGATGTGTTTGACGGCACAAATTGTACCTCGCATTCATTTCATATGGATTACAAAACCAGAGAACATTTGTTTTCAAGTGTAGTTGTTTTGTTATAAGTGGAGATTTCAAGCTGTATGTGGATATACAGTACAGGGATTGGACAATATATCTTAAATTTTTATTTCTAGACCACACTTACTCATTAGTATGCTGTATGCAGGGCTTAATTTGTACCGTAAAGGCTGATTTATACTTCTGCGTCAAACGGCGGCGTATGCTATGGCGCTGACGCATAGCCCTTCGCCGTGGCCGTCTGCGTCAGTGACGTGCACCTCTCAAAAATTGTAACTACACGTCACAACGACGCGTAGCGTAAGCTTTGTGATTGGTCGGCTTGGTAGCGCTGACGAGTCTGGGCGGGACCGAGAGCCTCGTGAATGGCGCGAACCCAAGCCTGAAGGAGCGATTGTTTACAAGTGTGGAGTCCCGTGAAGGAGCTCCAGATGGAAAGTTTTGTTTTGTGTTTACCTCATAGTTAAAGCTGTTGCACGTCCGCCGGTTCCTGCCTCAAAATGAGCGAGTTTGAGCCACTTGTACATCCCGGAAGTGTTCAGGAAATGCAATAAAGCAGCGAAGAAACTCGACACAGAGGAACATTTACACCTCACTGCCCACTAGCGTTTCGGAAGTGTTAATGCAAACCGACAGAGACAGTGCGCAGAAGTATAAATGCACAGCCACGCGCGTTGCATGCGCCATGGGTTACGCCGGTCACTTGACGCAGAAGTATAAATCAGGCTTAACAAGCCAGCACCTCATTTTACAGATCCCCCTCCTCACACGCACCCCCGCTCGTTACTTCCAAGACTCCCCAACCTAATTCCTCTTCATCTACACCCTCCACTCCCCCCCTGCTTTTCACTTCACTTTTGTCCTGGACACCGCATACCCCCAACACCCCCTCCATGCCGGATCCATTACCCTGATTTGTTCCGGGACCTGGCTATTTACAAATTAGGCACTGGGTGTAGGGCCTCCTTTTACAGCCAATACAGCATCTATTAGTCTTGGGAATGACAGACACAAGTCCTGCACAGCGGCCAGGGTGATGTTGCACCATTCTTCTTCAGAATAGTGTTCAGGTCACTACGTGATGCTGTGGGAGGAAAATGTGATTCACTCGGGGCACTCTGGAATCCATTGGGTGCACACTGGATGCACATGGTCCTCCAGAATGGTTCGGTAGACCTAGGCAGCGACGCGCCCATCTAGCAAGTATTGGGCCTAGGGCAGGGGTTTCAAACTCAATTCCTGGAGGGCCGAAGCCCTGCACAGTTTAGTTCCAACCCTGCTCCAACACACTTACCTGTAGGTTTCAAACAAGCCTGAAGGACTCAATTAGTTTGATCAGGTGTGTTTAATTAGGGTTGGAACTAAACTGTGCAGAGCTGAAGCCCTTTTGGAACTGAGTTTGACACCTGTGGCCAGGGGCATACTATGATACTGCAACACAAACCATCACTCAACCACCCCATGCTTCACTCTGGGCATGCATCAGTCTGGGTAGGACACTTCTTTGGGGCTTCTCCACACCATAACTCTCCTGGATGTGGGAAAGACCATGAAGGAACCTATACACTCTGCTCTTACTGTTCAAAATATATGTGAAAAAAAATATGTGTGTTAGATGTCGATATTTCCCAGTGTGCAAAACATCTTGGCGTGATGTTTGACGAATACTTAAAAGTACTGTACAGTACTGTTGTAATACCTTGCTTTTACCATCTCAGACAACTCTCAGACAGACCTCTCGGTCATTCAAAATGTGATTCACTCCAACAAAACACCCCAAAGTGACTCAATAATGTTGGGTTCTGGGTACTGTGCAGGCCATGGGAGATGTTCAACTTTACTTTCATGTTCATCAAACCACTCTGTCAGCAGTCTTGCTGTGTTTATTAGAGCATTATCATCCTGATACACACCTCCACCTTCAGGATACAATGTTTGACCCATTGGGTGCACATGGTCCTCCAGAATGGTTTGATAGACCTTGGCAGTGACGCTCTCATCTAGCAACTATTGGGCCTAGGGAATGCCATGATATTGCAGCACAAACTCTTACTCTTCACTCTGGGGATGTAGCAGTCTGGTGGGACACTTCTTTGGGGCTTCTCCACACCATAACTCTCCTGGATGTGGGAAAGACCATGAAGGAACCTACACAATCTGCTCTAACTGATGGAATGTGCAATCATTAAAGAATGGCCACCAATCTGCTTAAAGTTAGCCTTGAATGCCTCATCTCGCTAGTGTTTCAGTTTTATTGTCCAACCCCTGTATTTCTCATGTGTGTGAAGCAAGTATCTGCTGAGGTTCCCAAGAGGGTTCATGATGAAGCTGTAGAAACTGCTGTAAAAACACTTGTTTGGACTAAGTCCCTCCCCTGCAGAATTGTCACTCCATATTGATCAGTGATTGGCTCCTGTGCCAGAAGGCGGGGCTTCATTCGCCATATTGACCATTATACTTTACCCATTCAAAACTATACGAGTCGTCTTCTGTATTATAGAGTCTTTGTTGACAATCATTCAGTGGTGATTTCCGATTACAAGAAAATTCTCATGACATCATCAGAGTGTGATATAACATAGCAAGCTGTATAATATCAGCATCATTGATCTGGTTGGGCAGTTTCAGCACAGTCTGTCGGTCTAATCCAAACACAGCATAGAGCGGCTGAGTGAATGTGGTCTGGACTCTGTGAATGAGGCTTAATGTGTCTGAGACGCTGTAGAAACACAAAACCCCTGCGCTGGGATCCACCAACACTCCTATTTTACTGGAAACGGAGCTCACAGGCAGGACGGTCTCACGGTTATTGTGCCAGAATGAGCAATATTCAGGAGAGCAGAACAAACTCCAGGATTTTTCATTACGTCCAGCGGCGCTGTCATTTCCATCTCCCTTTCTCTTCATGCTCCTGTACATCACTCCTATATCTACACCTTTTCTCCCAGTGCCGGCCCACTCCACCTCCCAGTAACAGCGGCCCGTCACAGGCTCTCTACACAAGGCTTCAGTCCAAGCATCAAATCTGTGTGGATGATCCGGATACGGCTGTCGAATGTTTGTGACCGTCATTATTGTGTTCCCCTCACGCAGATCAATGCAATAATTCACAGTGTTCAGATCCAGAGTCAGCGGATGAGAATCTGCAGGAGAGAAACACACAATCACTCATGACCTTACTAACGCAACACTAACTAATGTAAAGTTATGCATCGTTCTCTAACATTGGTCATGCAAGGGTTGTCAGTGCTTGTGCATGTTTAGTAACTCACATTGTAGAAACTCTTTCCTGGTGGCATGTTCACGAGAGACGACGACCTGCACGGTTTTCACTGTGAACACCAAAGAACATGCATCAGCATACAAACGTTAATGATGTTAAAACATTTGTATGTGTGGGCCTGAAGCCACTGCAGGCTTTTATTGCAGTATAATGATGTATTTTTAACTGAAGCTGAATATTAAGTAGGGGGCGTGGTTTTATTTCAGTATGATGATGTATTAACTGAAGCTAAATATTGAGTAGGGGGCGTGGTTTATTTCAGTACGATGATGTATTTTTAACTGAAACTGAATATTGAGTAGGAGGTGGGGTTTCATTTCATGATGATGTATTAACTGAAGCTGAATATTGAGTAGGGGGCGGGGTTTAATTTCAGTATTATGATGTATTAACTGAAGCTGAATATTGAGTAGGGGCGGGGTTTCATTTCAGGATGATGTATTAACTGAAGCTGGATATTAAGTAGGGGGCAGGGTTTAATTTCAGTATGATGATGTATTTTTAACTGAAACTGAATTTTGAGTAGGAGGTGGGGTTTCATTTCATGATGATGTATTAACTGAAGCTGGATATTGAGTAGGGGGCGGGGTTTAATTTCAGTATGATGATGTATTTTTAACTGAAACTTAATATTTAGTAGGAGGTGGGGTTTTATATAGGATGATGTATTAACTGAAGCTGGATATTGAGTAGGGGGCGGGGTTTAATTTCAGCATGATGAAGTATTAACTGAAGCTGAATATTGAGTAGGGGGCGGGGTTTAATTTCAGTATTATGATGTATTAACTGAAGCTGAATATTGAGTAGGAGGTGGGGTTTCATTTCATGATGATGTATTAACTGATGCTGAATATTGAGTAGGGGGCGGGGTTTAATTTCAGCATGATGAAGTATTAACTGAAGCTGAATATTGAG